GGCTGGCTGCAAAATGGTCCCCATCAATACTTCAACCACTTGCTCACCTTTATTGCCAGGACTAACCTACACTTGTACGAGTTTCTACAGACTGGCTTTAAAAAAAAAAAAGCAGCTCTCCTGAATGCATTCTAAGAATTCCACTCCCTTTAACACTTTCTTAACCATTACTACCCCAATTAACATCAGGCAAGTTGAAATCCCCCATCACATCCTTATTACTTTTACACTTCTGAAATTTATCTACATATCTGCTCTATTTCTCTCTGTTAGAAGGGCTTCAGTACACTCCGAGCAATGCGAGTGCTTTTTTGTTTTTACGTTCTACTTACATGGCTTCATTTCTAAGGTGTCATTCCTCCTATTGCTGCAATTAATTCCCTGGTCAATATCATGATACCCGCTCCTCTCTATTTCCTTCCTGTCTCATCTGAAGGCCCTATAACCTGGAATATATAGAATTGCCAATCCTATCCCTCTTTCAACTATGTCTCAGTTACAATGATAACATACCCCCGTTTTAAATTTATGCCTTAACTCATCTGCTTTGCTTGTCAGATTCCTTACATTAAAATAAACAACATCTAACCTGCTAAACTCCCTTGTGCCTTAAAACGGCCTATAAATTTCTAAGCCCTCTTGACTCCCTTGTGGTCTTCAATTTTGGCTGTTCATCTCTCCCTGCTGATTAGTCTCTCTGGATCTCACCCTCTGCCAAGTTAGTTTGAACTCTGTAGCAGCACTGACCAGCCTTCCCACAAGGATGCTGGTTCCATTTACCTTGTACAGGTTCCACTGCCTCAAAAATGGCCCAGAAATCCAAAGCCCTTCCTCCTGCATCACCTCACCAGTCATGCATTCAGCTGGACCAACCTTCTATTTCTATAGATCGGACCAGAAGTAATCTGGGGATTACTGACTTTTGAGCCCTGTTTATTTGCTAACTCCCTAAAATTCTGCCTGCAGGACCTCATCCCTTTATCTACTTATATCATTGACACCAATATGTACCATGACCTCTTTGTTGCCCATCCACTTCAGAATGTCTGGAGCCAGTAACATCCTGGACTCTGGAACCAGAGGCAACATAACAGCCTGGAGATTCTTTTGCACCTGCAGAAACATCCATATGTTCCCTGCACAATTGAACCCCCTGCGACCTGTTCTTCTCTCTTCCCTCTTCCCTCTTGTGCAACAGACTCTAATATGGTGCCGTGAAGTTAATTCCCACTACACAGTTATCTCCCCTAACAACATGCAACATTAGTGCATCTATTAGACAGGGGGATAGCTGCAGGGGTTTACTGCACCACCAGCCTTCCTCCACTGTTTAGTGGTCACCCATGCCCTTTCTGCCTTTTTAGTCTTTAGGTGAAGCATGGCTACCTCACCAAACATGTATCCACATCACACTCGGTATCACAGTTGCTCCAGTGAATTCACCTGCAGCTCTGAAATGCAGTTAGCCAGTAACTGCAGCTGAACACTTCCAGCAAACATGGTCACCAGGGACAATTGATGATCCGAGACAAGAAGGTGCAGGGCTGGATG